TAAAACTCTAGTGATAGACGTTGGGGAAGGAAAGAAACGGTACCCTTTCGTTTCAGATTGCACATGTTGTGAATCACAAAGGAAAATGTTGTTTTGATTGGAAGAATTTTATTTCCTAAACAGAAATGTGCAGTTTCTTGTCTCGAGAAAGCCATGTTTACACATCCAAAATGAATACATTGCAATGATACAGAAATATCGCTATCTGCTACTTCGGTTTTTTTCTCAGCGATTTGAAAACAGCAAAACTTGTTGAAAGATTAGTATTTGTAATTTTTATTTCGGAAAACTTTGCTTATTCACATTTCGTTCCAATTGTCTTGGATTATATTGAAGCTTACCTAAAAAAGACTTTGCGAACTATTCAAAGCTCAACTGGCAAAAAGCAAACAACTTCTCATAAAGTATTTAACACATCACGTTATATCATAAAATATATTTAATAGGTACTTAGGTAGTTGATTTCTTTGTTTCGTAGACTGGAAATATACTCTATCTAACTAAGCACGTCAGATTTCGTCAGACAACAAAGTTTCAGTTGTACAGCTTGCGTAGTCACAAAGTTTTAGTGCGATAGCCAACACTGGACTAGGTATAAGTACGTCGGTCCAAGCAAAGCCTTTTTGTGAGGTTTTAAACCTAGCTCTACGTTTCCTTTTATCTAGCACTTCGGATTACGTCAGGAAACAAAGTTTCAGTCATATAACTTGTATAGCTATTAAGTTATGGTGCAAGACCCAATATAGGACTGGGTACAAGTACAGTAGTCTAAAAATTGCTTTTGTGGAATTTTTAAAGCTATTTTCGTGTCTCATTTTATTCAGCACGTTTAATAACGACAGAAAAAATGTTTCAGTTTTATAGCATGCAAAGTTAAACGTTGTAGTGCAATACCTAAAAGAGGACTGGGTACCAGTACCCTAGTCTAAAAATAGCTTTCGGGGGCATTTTTGAAGCCTGATATGTATTTCATCTTACTCAGTATTGTTGTGCACCAGATCGAACGAACCATTGTAGGGTATAATTTAAATATTTGGCAAACACTTTATTCCCGCTGTTAATTATCTATGTTTCTTTTGGTTGTAGGTCTTACGTGTTTTTAGCTGATTGGTTGTTATTAATACTTGTAAAATGCTTGTATATATAAATACGCTGTAGTAGTTTTAAGAATTAGGCTTTTTGGGAGAAGCATCTTGCTGTTCGTTCAAAGTGCTGACGAAGGAAGTCGTTGTCTCTCTGCTCCTTTCTGCCACAAGTCGAGTTGAAAAGGGCCGTGAGTTATTTTATATATACTTGGTTGCACAGTAGTTAAAGTGTAGTATAACATATTGGTGACCACGACGTGACCGGTCGAGAATACTTATTGGCGTGCTGAAAAAAAACCGATAAACTTGCGTTTTACATTTTGGTGTCGAATATAGGTTTTATTGCATTTTTCATTGGCCGTTTTGACGTATTCACTGGAATTGTTCGGGGTTGATGTACTGGGTATGGTTTTTATTTCTTGTTTCTTTGGAAATTTTGACTGTTTCGCCGCATTGGTTATCTTGTATCGTTTTTATTATTACGTCGGATTTCCGTTAAAAGTGAAGATTGAACTGAACTTTCGAGAAGCAATTTCAGAATGCTGATATACTTATATGATATTGTCTAAAGATTGTTCAAGACAGACTTTAATTCCGCTCGTTTTCTTCTTGATAACTCGAAAACAAAATCCGTGGTTGCACTCATTTCGGCAAAACTTTGGAAATATTGTGAAATTGTTTAGTTATTCACGTAGTTAAAATGGAAGCAACGGTAGAAGAATTACAAAACCGTGTGTCTGCTATGCAGGCAGCCCTGGAGGGAAACGCCCAGTCGGGACTTTTTAAACAACCGCCTTTCAGTGGATTCCAAAATGAAGACGTAAATGAATGGGTTGTAAAATTTAATCGACTTGCCAGGTTCTATGGTTGGGGCAATGCAAAAAAATTAAGTGCACTTCCATTGCTGCTTAATGGCCCAGCTTTGGCACGGTTTCAGACGCTCTCAGACGAAACTGCAGGAACTTTCGATAGCTTAATTGAAGCTTTAATTGCAAGATTTGGCAACCAAAACATCCAGTTTTTGATACGGCAAGAACTTTATGCCCGAAAACAGCTCGAACATGAGCCTCTAGTAACCTACACTGAAGACATCATAAAAAAGTGTCAACGACTGAATCTAAATGAGTTAGAAATGATGAACATTTTCATAAACGGCCTAAGCGCAGAACTAAAGAACCATGTTGTTTTAAACCAGCCAAAAACTTTCACAGAGGCAGAAAACCTTGCCCGCCTCCGTGACGCTGCTTCAAAGTCTTTCGGCCCAACCGTCCCGCAAACCATTTCGCAAGACCAGCGTATTAAAGAACTTGAGGGCCAAGTTAATATATTGCTTGCGTTTGCTAGCAACAAGAGAACCGGCCAGTTAAACGCTTTAGATCAAATTGATTATGGTAACAACTTGGGTGGTGGTACATATGGTAATCATGTTGCAAATCAAAGCTCTTTTCAAAGTGACCTCCTGAATCTTAAAACAGAGCTAATTGCTGCAATTGATCAACGTTTTGTGTCTGGCAAACCTCAACCCATGAACAGGCTTCAACAAGGTGTAAGGGAAAGCTATGCAAGGGGGCGTAATTTACGTACCACCGATGGGCAACCTATTTGCAACAACTGCTATCGTGTGGGTCATGTGGCTCGATATTGTAGAAGTAATAATAGTGGTGTTTCTGGTAGAGAAAATGCAGTTCAAAATAATTATCGCTTTCGGTCAACTCAAAACTTTCAGCAGGACAGATCCGGTACAAATTATTTAAACGAACAAGGGCCTTCTCGTTGGGGGAATTGAAGGAGGCCCAAACGGTTGGAAAGCAAATGAAGCCCCCGTTTTGTGAAAAAGCTGATTCGTCTTTCGAACAATGGGTTAATAAACGAAATTGTTTGACTAGTGCCAAGTTTCAATTAGAAAAACCTTTAAATGACATTGATATCGAGCCAAGAAAGGGAACCTACGCAGTACCGTGCTTACTAAACGGGACATCATCAAGTGACGAATCTTCGATACTTGGAAATGTCTTAATTTGGGGATCAGTTGAAAATGAGCAAGTTAAATTACTCGTAGACACTGGCGCCGCTATTTCCGTAATTAGTGAAAGTTTTTTTAATTCTGCTCTGCGCATGCATTACTCGCTGCAGACGCCGCGTAATGGACTCGAAAGTATTCAAACTGCAAATGGTGCCACTGTTGCTGTGAAAGGTTTTGTGACGTTTCCTCCCACCATTGGTAATGAGCATTATGAATGTCAGGCCTCAGTTGTCTCTGGCCTAGCTTACAATGTTGTGTTAGGTCGTGACTTTCTGCATAAAACCCATGCTGTTATTGATGTTCCTGGCCATATTGTAACATTTACGAATGATAACACTGTCTCATTTATAACTGGCAATACACCTCCATTGCTTTGCTCTGTCGCTGTTTTTTCTTCATTCGTCATTGAACCTCGTTCTGAAGCTATTATTCCTGTGCAGCTTTTGCAGTCGCACAGTATTTCTGTCGCAGGCCTCGTCGAAGGTAATGAGAAATTAACCTCTCGTTATCGCCTCCTCCTAGCAGCTTCTATTTCATGCCCAACTAGTGAAGGAAATGTCTCGTTTCGTTTGTTAAATCCTTCTGATGAACCAGTGCTTCTTCATAAAGGAACAGTCATCGGCACGTTTTCTGAACTTTTGCACACTGACATCTTTCCTTTAAAAAGTAGTGTCTCAGCTATGGATTCTGCTCCACAACATCACAGCCTCCTTTCCGAACTTGAGTCTATTAAGAATGTCGATCTTTCAGAGGCCCAGAATGCAGCTCTCTCACAATTACTTTTATCGTATAAAGATATTTTCGCCTCATCTAGCCTTGATCTCGGCCATACTTTCATCATCGAACGCGAAATTTACACAGGGGATGCTCGGCCTATTAAGTCTTCACCTTATTGAGTCTCTCAATTGCAACGTGAAGAAATTGAAACACAGATTTCAAATATGCTATCTCAAAATGTGATTCAACCTTCTTCGAGCCCTTGGAGCTCTCCTGTAGTTTTAGTAAAGAAGAAAGACGGTACGACGAGATTTTGTGTCGACTATCGAAAATTAAATGCTGTCACTCGCAAAGGCAGTTATTCTCTTCCTCGCATTGATGATGCCCTTGACGCTATTTCTGGATCTCAGTTCTTTACAACGCTCGATCTGCAGTCGGGCTATCACCAAGTTGCCATGCATCCGTCTTCACGAGAAAAAACTGCTTCGTTTCACATGCAGGATTGTTCGAATATAATGTAATGAGTTTTGGTTTAACAAACGCTCCACCGACTTTCCAACGATTGATGTCGAGAGTTCTTGCTGGCCTAGAATGGAAGGTTTGTCTCATCTATATAGACGATATTATCGTTTTTTCTTCTACTTTTGAAGAACATTTGCAAAGGCTGTCTCTCGTTTTCGATCGCATACGTCAGGCTAACTTGAAATTGAAACCAAGTAAGTGCCACTTTGCTCGCCATTCTGTGAAATTTCTTGGGTTTATTGTCTCTGCAAATGGTATTTCTGCTGACCCAGACAAGCTTGAAGTTGTAAACTCGTTTCCAGTGCCGTCCAATGTGAAGGATGTACGCAGTTTTCTTGGTCTCTGTAACTATTACAGACGTTTTGTCCATGATTTTGCACGCATAGCTTCACCTATAAATCAGCTAACAAGAAAGGACGTCAAGTTTGTGTGGAGTGCTGAATGTCAACACGCTTTCAACATACTAAAGCAGAGTTTGTGCTCCAATCCTGTTTTAGCTTATCCCATTTTTAGTGAGCC